GGTGGTATCTCATTGTGGTTTTGATCTGTATTTCCCTGATGATGAGTGACGTTGAGCATTTTTTCATGTGTCGGTTGGCCATCTGGATGTCTTCTTTGGAGAAGTGTCTATTCATGTCTTTTGCCCATTTCTTCCCTGGATTATTTGTTTTTTGGGTGTGGACTTTGGTAAGTTCTCTATAGATTTTGGATACTAACCCTTTATCTAATATGTCATTTGCAAATATCTTCTCCCATTCTGTCGGTTGCCTTTCAGTTTTGCTGATTGTTTCCTTCGCTGTGCAGAAGCTTTTTATTTTGACGAGGTCCCAGTAATTCCTTTTTGCTTTTGTTTCCCTTGCGTCCAGACACGTGTTGAGTAAGAAGTTGCTGCGGCCAAGATCAAAGAGGTTTTAGCCTCCTTTCTCCGGAGGATTTTGATGGCTTCCTGTCTTACATTTAGGTCTTTCATCCATTTTGAGTTTATTTTTGGGTAGGGTGTAAGAAAGTGGTCCCTGTTCATTCTTCTGCATGTCGCTGTCCAATTTTCCCAGCACCACTTGCTGAAGAGACTGTCTCTATCCCATTGGATATTCTTTCCTGCTTTGTCAAAGATTAGTTGGCCATACGTTTGTGGGTCCATTTCTGGGTTCTCTATTCTGTTCCATTGATCTGAGAGTCTGTTTTTGTGTCATGTTTTTTTTTTTTAAATCAAATTTCATTGCAACTTAACTTGACTGCCTTTCCTTTTGTTTCGTGATTCACCATCTTTATTGGGGTATGGTTGATGAGCTTTATTAGGGTATGAATGGTGAGTAGAAATTGTAGATCTTTAAGGTGTACAACTTGGGGTTTTGATATACATGCACGTCATGAAGTGATCACCACAGTTAAACTAGTTAACAACATGCATCACCTCACGTGGCCACCTTGGTGTGTGTGGTGAGAACACCGAGGCTCTCGTCTTGTAACATGTGTGATACAGTATTGCTAACTATAGTCACCCCGCTGCACATGAAATCCCCACAACTCGTTTGTCTTGCGTAATTGAGTTCTGTACCTTTGCCCCACATCTTCCCCTTTCCCCTCCCCCCACCAGCCCTTGGCAACCACCTTCTGTTCTGTGCTTCCATGGTGAGTTCAACTATTCCAGATTTTACTATCGCTCTTTCCAAAAGCCTTACTTTTTTAAAACCAGATTTTACTATCGCTTTTTCCAAAAGCCTTACTTTTTTAAAAGTAAACTCCATGCCCAACATGAGGCTTGAACTCATGACCCAGAGATCAAGAGTCACATTCTCTACCCACCAAACCAGCCCCTTTTATTTTTTCAAACAATTTTTTAACGTAGTCTTTAATTGATTTTCATGTTTTTGATTTTGGACTTTGATTTTTTTTTTTTTTTGAGAGAGAGAGAGAGAGCAGGAGTGAGGGGCGGAGGGAGAGAGAGAATCTTAAACAGGCTCCACACTCAGCTTGGAGCCTGACACAGGGCTCGATCCCACGACGCTGGAATCATGACCTGAGCTGAAATCAAGAGTTGGATGCTCAACCAATTAAGCCACCCAGGCACCCCTGCTTTTTCCTTTTTTTAAATTTTTTAAATGTTTATTTATTTTTGAGAGAGAGAGACAGAGCGTGAGCGAGGAAGGGGCAGAGAGAGAGAGGGAGACACAGAATCTGAAGCAGTTCCAGGCTCCGAGCCGTCAGCACAGAGCCGGACACGGGGCTCGAACCCACAAACCATGAGATCATGACCTGAGCCCAAGTCGGCCGCCCGACCGAGCCACGCAGGCGCCCCCACATTTTTCTTTTTTAAAGCGCTAAAACACACATAAGATAAAATTTACCATTTCAGCTGTTTTGTGCTCAGTTCTGTGGCACTAAGCACGTTCACCATCCATCTCCAGAGCCTCTTCACTTTCGTGTTTCCCCAAGCACAACTCTGTCCCCATCAAACAGCAGCCCCCACCCCCCATCCCGTTCCCCCAGCCCCTCGGCCTCTGGCGACCACCACTCTCCCTTCTGCATCTGTCAGTGTGGTGTTCCTTCTTTATCTCCAGCTTCCAGACTCGTGCTATAGGGTTGGTGTTTAGTAAGTAGCGGTCGAAGGAATTAGGTGGGGTGGTGCTGAGGGCCCCCCAGGTTTCCTGTTTGAACGAGCATGAGATGGGGTGTGCTGGGGAGACGCTCAGACCCAGGTCGGGGTCCCCGGGGGCCTGAGCGCCATGCCTGTCCTCTCCCCACAGGCCTGCTGCTCCTGGTCAGCCTGGAGGTCTTCCGGCATTCTGTCCAAGCCCTGCTGCAAAGAGTCAGCCCTGAGCCTCCCCCAGCCCCAGCCCTGGCCTACGAATACTCCTGGTCCCTGGGCTGTGGGATGGGGGCCAGCCTGGTCCTCCTGCTGGCCAGTGGCTGCTTCCTCCTGCTCACCTTGCCTCCGGGGCCCTGGGGCTCACTCTGCCCCAAGCTGGGGCACAGGGCCACCTAGAGCCAGCACTGTGCCTTCTCTAACTCCTTCCTTTTCTTCTTATCCCTCAAAGTCTTTCCCCTTGTCCTGGAGAAACTGTGTTCTGCCTGCTGTGGGGCACACGTTGTTTGCACACACCTCCCTCTCCTGCCTCATGTTTTCCCTCTGTGAATATGTTCTTCTCGGTGGCCGAATTGGGATGCTTGGGGTACGATGGAGAGAGGCCTTTTACAAACGAGGGTCCCCAGGGAAGGCTTGCAGGGGGACCTGATGGGGTAACTGGGGAGTAGGGTGGGGGGGATGAGGTCAGGGGGTCTTAGGACGGACTTGGACTGATTCATTTCCCAGATCTGGATGTATTCACTTGTGAGAGAGGCATCTTCCAACTAATTTGAACCTTGGGGAAACAGGGGAGGGGGAGGGGAAATCGCTGGGTCTGGCCTCGCTGTGGTCTGGTTTGGGATTAAAGGTTTGGAAATTTCAGAGCTTTGATTTGGAGTCTGTTTGGATATGGTTGTGCGTTCCGGGGTGGCGAAGTGACCCCTTGTGCTCTCCGGAAACCTGCTACTTAGCAGCCCCGAAGTCACATGTCAACAAACCCACAGAGTGACCAGAAAACTCAGCAGCTTAGAGCACACACATCGTGGGTTGAACTGCATCCCACGTCTGGACGCCTGTGCTGGGATCCCGACCCCCAGGATCTCAGGGTCTGTTCGGAGGTACCCAGGTGAAAGCGAGGTCATCGGGGTGGACTCTCCTCCAGCATGACTGGAGTCCTTGTAAGGAGGGGAGGACGCAGACAGGCGCCGAGGGAAGACACAGAGGCCCTCTGCTGCCTGTGAACCGAGGAGAGAGCCGGGAACGGACTCTCCCTCACGGTCCTCAGAAGGAGACAACCCCGAGACCCGCTGACCCTGGACTCCCCGCCTCCAGAACCTGGAGACAGTACACAGTGTCCTTCAGGCCACCGGTCTGGTCTGTGGTGCTTTGTTAGGGCAGCCCCAGCGGGCTGGACAGATTCTAGTGCCTGGAAACGGTGTGACACACGGGGCTCTGGGACGGGGGCAGGGACAGGCAGGGGGCTTTGGAGGTGCCCGACAGAAGAGCCGCCCTGGGCTCCAGGAGACGGTCGGTGGGGACACGCATCCCCAGGGCTCAGAAGGAGGCGGGGACAGTTGTAGGGACAGTGGCTGTGTTCTCAGGGAACGCCGTCATCACTGTGCACTAGAAAGCTGGTAGGAACCGGAACAGCACCAGCTGATGCTACAGAGAACCAAGACCCACGTCCAGGGCTCCAGCGCTCAAGCCCAAGGACCGGCCTCGCACCTTGGGAAGACCAGGTGTGTATTTCAACTCCACAGTCACAGCTGGAGGGGGCTCCTGGGAGGCGCAGTCGGGTGGGCGTGTGACTTCCGCTCAGGTCATGATCTCACGGTTCGTGAGTTCGAGCCCCACCTGGAGCTCTCTGCTGTCAGTGCAGAGCCTGCTTGGGGTCCTCTGTCCCCCTGCCCCCCACCTCTCTGCCCCTCCTCCCCTCTCAAAAGTAAATGAATATTTAAAAAAAGAGAAAGTTGCCTTTCTGTAGATGCAGCCAAAAAAAGAAAGAAAGAAAGAAAGAAAGAAAGAAAGAAAGAAAGAAAGAAAAAGAAAGAAAGAAAGAAAAAATCGTGGCTTGAGCGCATTCTTTGGTTTCACAGGGATAGCTGAAGCTCGTCTGTTACCTCTCAAAGGCCAAAGTCTCTTAAACTTAAAAATGTTTGAAATAGGATCACCTGGCTGGCTCAGTTGGTACAGCAAACTCTTGATCTTGAGGTCTTGAGTTCAAGCCCCACGTTGGGTGTAGAGATTACTTGACAAATAAAATCTTAAAAAAAAATTACAATAGGGAATATGTGCTGATTTATGAATACAAATGTGCTAACATCATGCATTTGATTTCCTAAATGTTATATTTACAACTTAAAGATAATTACACATATCATATATAATATTTTATATACCAATAATATATAGTGTATGATTATAGTTAATTGGTTACTGTATTAAAAATATGGATATTTAATATGTTGATATGTTATCTTAACATTTTCTATGTTTAGTTATATATTATAAATACAATTATAGGGGCACCTGGGTGGCTCAGTTGGTTAAGCATCCAACTTCGGCTCAGGTCATGATCTCGCAGTTCATGAGTTCAAGCCCTGCGAGCTGTCTGTGCTGACGGCTCAGAGCCTGGAGCCTGTTTTGTGTTCTGTGTGTCTCTCTCTCTTTCTGGCTCTCCCCTGCTTGCACTCTGTCTCTCGTTCTCAAAAATAAACATTAAAAATATTTTTTAAATAACTACAATTAAGTAACTATATAGCCATATAGCATCATTATATATTATAGTAATCATTACATAAATATTATTTATATTAATAGCCTGTCATGGTTTTTTTAAATATAATTTTTTATTTATTTATTTTTTAAATTTTAATGTTTATTTATTTTTGAGAGAGACAGACAAAACATGAGTGGAGGAGAAGCAGAGAGAGAGGGAGACACAGAATCCGAAGCAGGCTCCAGGCTCTGAGCCATCGGCACAGAGCCAGGCATGGGGCTCAAACTCGTGGACTGCGAAATCATGACTTGGACCGAAGTCAGAGGCTCAGCTGACTGAGCCACCCAGGTGCCCCTTTGTTTTCGTTTTTGGTTTTTTTTTAAAGTTTATTTATTTATTTTGAGAGATAGAGAAAGAGAGCAGGGGAGGGGCAGAAAGAAAAGAGAGAGATAATTCCAAGGCGGTTCCACACTGTTGGAGCAGAGCCCAATGTGGGGCTCGAAACATATCATGGCGTGAGCCAAAATCCTGAGCCGAAATCAAGAGTCGGACACTCAACCAACTGAGCCACCCAGGCGCCCAGTAGCCTCTCATGTTATATGACTATAGCATTCATAACGTTACATATATGAAACATAACATACAATATAATCTATTGTGGTGTATCCATGCGATATTTATAATGTAACATGTAAGTTAATATTTGTATGATACGACATGTTATATAATTACAAATTGTCCCAGGGTTCCCAGCAGCCTCCTTGCTGAGGATGCTGTTGGGGAAGAGCTGCGGAGGTGGGTTCACGGCCTTGGACAGCTGGCGGGAGCGTGGGGCAGGGGCTGGTGGGGAAACACAGCCCGAGCAATTTGTCGCCACTTCTTCATCCCTTACAGGAGCTCCTCGTGTGCTACCCCTACAGCCGCTGCCAGGAGTAATGCCGTCCTAATCCCTGCAGAGCCCTGGAGGACAACCTGGCATGGGGTCATGACTCGATCAGCCCTGCTGTTATTATTTATCGAGTGGCACTTTGGGCCCAGCATACAGTAGAGAGCAAAAAAGGGACCCCCAGGGAGCTGACAGTCTGGTGAGGGAAACAGATATTAATCACATAATCACAGTAATGGACGTGTAATTATAAACTCCGGTCAGAGCCAGGCAAGGGGATCAGCAACACGTTTGTTTTTTTTCCTGCTTGACTTTGAGCCCAGCCAGCTCGGGGATGCCCTGAGAGCTGTCTGCCTCGGGGGAGAGTCCTCCGGTCTTGAGAATGGCTCTTTGTGCAGCAAGGCCTTCACTCTGCACCTTCTTTGCCACCTGCAGTCTGGTGGACTCCTCGGAGGTGGGGGAAGGGAGCGGAGACCCAGCAAAGACCAGTAACTGGAAACACATCATGATACGGGACCAGTTATTGAAGCATTAACTTGCATCACTTCACCTTCTATATATTTATAAATTTTTTTTAACATTTATTCATCTTTGAGAGAGAGAGAGAGAGAGAGAGAGAGACTGAGTGAGCAGGGGAAGAGCAGAGAGAGAGGGAGACACAGAATCCGAAGCAGGCTCCAGGCTCTGAGCTGTCAGCACAGAGCCCGACACGGGGCTCGAACCCACAAATTGTGAGATCGTGATCCGAGCTGAAGTCAGACAGTTAACCACCTGGGGCACCCAGGCGCCCCATCATTTATTTTTATTTTTATTTTTTTAAATATTTATTTCTGAGACAGAGAGAGACAGATCATGAGCAGGGGAGGGGCAGAGAGGGAGGGAGACACAGAATCCGAAGCAGGCTCCAGGCTCTGAGCCATCAGCACAGAGCCCGACGCGGGGCTGGAACTCATCAACCACGAGATCGTGACCTGAGCTGAAGTCAGAAGCTTAACCAACTGAGCCACCCAGGCGCCCCCCTTTTTCAAATTTATTTTTTATTTTTTATTTTTGGCTCTTTTTAAAGAAATAGTAATAGCCCTGGGCACCTGAGTGGCTGATTTGGTTAAGCGTCTGACTCTTGATTTGGGGTCAGGTCATGAGCTCATGGTCAGTTCCTGGGATTGAGCCTCATGTCTGGCTCTGTGTTGACATTGATGAGCCTGCCTGGGATTCTCTCTGTCTTCCTCTTTCTCTCTGTCCCTCCCCCATCCCCAAATCAATCAATACATAAACATTAAAAAAATAGTAATAGCCCTTGCAAACCGCACCCCCCCCCAAAAAACCCAAAAAGCCTGGCACATTGTAGGTGTTAAATAAATGTTTGTTAAATAGCTAGATAAATAAAATAATTCCAGAAATGGGGGATTTGCTCAAGACAGGGAGCTGTATCAGCCTCTGTCTCCTGTTTCCCCGACAGGGGTTTAACCATTACAGGGAGTTTAACCATTATGGGTGCAACCCTGGTAAAATACAGGGAAAGCCCTAAAGCAGGAGTCATCCCTTGATGGACCCCCTGACTTGATTGCAAGTTTCCTCTCCTGCAGGCTTACTTGTTAAGTTTCTGCATCTTATTCCATCAGATGCAGGCCCCTAGGGATTTTCTGGTTAATCCACACGAGTTAGAAAAAAAAAAAAAATTTTATTGTGGTAAAAGATGTGTAATCATAACATTTACCATTTTAATCATTATTAAGGTTACATACAGTTCAGGGGCGCCTGGGTAGCTCAGTCGGTTGGGTGTCTGACTTTGGCCCAGGTCATGATCTCACAGTT